GTGGAGCACGGAGAAGGCCCTTCACTCGGGACGGGGCTGAGCCGGCCCCTCAGTGGGACCCTTCCTGCCACTGCAACCACTGCGCTTTGTAATAAATGGTTTCATTGGAGCTTGGAGAGTCGAGTGTCCACAAAAGGTGTTCCTTTTGGGAAAGGTTAGCTCCCTTTTCTCCCCATTCACCCATCCCGTCAACCTCTCGTCCATCATCTACCCTTTCATTCATCTGTCCAGACTTCATGGAGCCACCCCTCCATCCTTCCTTCCTTCCGTCCACCCATCCACACATCCATCCATCCGTGTACAGATGCTTCTCAACTTACAATAGAGCCACATCCCAGTAAACCCATTATAAGCTGAAAATGCACTTAATGGCCCTGCCAGGTAGTTCAGTGGTTAGAGTGTCATCCTGATAAGCCATCATCTACCCTTTCATTCATCTGTCCAGACTTCATGGAGCCACCCCTCCATCCTTCCTTCCTTCCTTCCATCCATCCATCCGTGTACAGATGCTCCTCAACTTACAATGGAGCCCCATCCCAGTAACCCATTATAAGCTGAAAATGCACTTAATGGCCCTGGCCAGGTAGTTCAGTGGTTAGAGTGTCATCCTGATAGGCCAGGGTTTCACTTTTAATCCCTGGTCTGGGCACATACAAGAATCAATCAATGAATGCATAAATAAGTGGAACAACAAATCTCTCTCCCTCTCTCTCAAATCAATCAATAAAAATATTTTTTAATGGACTTAATGGACTCAGACACAGACCTATACCTTCCATAAAAATTAACTCCAATGCAAAACTATAAAACTTCTAGAAGAGTCCTAGCTGGTTTGGCTCAGTGGATAGAGCATCAGCTTGCAGACCAAAGGGTCCTGGGTTTGATTCTGCTCAAAGCAAAGGCACGTACTTTGGTTGCTGGCTCCTCCCCGGTCTGGGCCCTGGCCAGACCTTGTGCAGGAAGCAACCAATCGATGTGTTTCTCTCACATCGATGTTTCTCTATGTCTTCCTCTCTCTTCCACTCTAAAATCAATAAAAATTATCCTCCAGTGAGGATTAACAACAACAAAAACAAAAATCAATGCAAAAATATCCTCAGATGAGAATTAACAACAACAAAAAAGCATGACTGGGTTGCTACTATGTTTTGAGAAAGATAGTATAATAGGGTACATCCCTTGGTTGCTGGCTTGATCCCCAGTGGGGAGCGTGCAGGAGGCTGCCAGTCAATGATTATCTCTCATCATCGATGTTTCTATCTCACTCACCCTCTCCTCCCTTCCTCTCTGAAATCAATAAAAACATACTAGAGAGAGAGAGAGAGAGAGGTTACATAGTCCTGAAGCAGGCAAAGCAGACTGTGCATGAAAGATGGAATCACAACACATGGAATTTGAAGGGCTGTTTTCCACACAAAGTTGTTAACTTTATGCCAATACCTGTTCGCTGTATTGGCGCATCGTACCCATGTTGAACATGTTTTCTCATTAATGGAACCATGGGGAAAACGAAGTGGACGATCAATGGAAAGAGAACAAGATAAGTTGGATGTGAGCACTGTAAAAAATAATTACCAAGTAAATGGAACACAGACTGTGACAGCAAGGAACTCTATAAGCAAACTAGAGGCCTGGTGCAGGAAATTCCTGCATGGGGCGGGGGAGGGGTGTCCCTCAGCCCAGCCTGCACCCTCTCCAATCCAGGACCCACTCAGGGGATGTCTGACTGACGGTTTAGGCCCAACTGCAGGATCAGGCCTAAACCAGCAGTCAGACGTCCCTCTCGCAATCTGGGACTGCTGACTCCTAACCGCTTGCCTTCTTGCTTGCCTGATCTCCCCCAACTGCCTCTGCCTGCCTGCCTGATTGCCCCTAACCCCCTCTACCTGCCTGCCTGATCGCCCCCAACCGCCTCTACTTGCCTGCCTGATTGCCCCTAACCACCTCTACCTGCCTGCCTGATCTCCCCCAACTGCCCTCCCCTGCCGGCCTGATCACCCCCTAACTGCCCTCCCCTGCCGGCCTGATTGCCCCCTAACTGCTCTTCCCTGCTCATCTTATCGTCCCCTAACTGCTTGCTCCCCCACACTGGCCTGATCTTGCCCCTAACTACTTGCTCCCCTGCTGGCCTGATCACCCCTAACTACCTCTGCCTCGGCCCCTACCACCATGGCTTTGGTCTGGAAGGAAGTCGGATGTCCGGAAGATGTCCCGTTGACCCGGTCTAATTAGCATATTACCCTTTTATTAGTATAGATATTGCAAAAAGAAACTTAAGAAGAACGAAAGCCTAAGGGACATGTAATTAAAGAGAGAGGTATGTAATGAGATAACCTACCATTCAGTTCAGATAACCAGTGAATGAGTTTGTGTGTGGAGAAATATACAGATTGGGCTTCCAGGAGGCAGACTCAGAGAGGCCCATGTGCAGAGGTGGTGCCCCAGGGACAGTCCCTGGACAGGGGAGGGGAGGGGAAGGAGGCAGATGAGGCAGAGGGAGAATTGAGCTGCAGTGCAGCCCAGTGACAGCCTCATGCAGGCCTTCAGGGCGCCCTGGAGCTGGAACAGTCCTGAGGAGGGGGCCCCTCTGGGCCAGGAGGCCGGACCCTATTCCCGGTGGGCTTTCCTGGGAAGAGGTGTGACATACACGTGGTGCTCTGTGTGCATGAGCACGGCGCCTGCCTGGAGCTTTACCTAACTATTGCCGCAACGCCCACAACAACCACTCACGGTAGGTGATTTTTAAAACATATATTTTAATTGATTTCAGAGAGGAAGGAAGAGGGGGGGTTGAAACATCCATGATGAGACAGAATCATTGATTGGCTGCCTCCTACACGCCCCACACTGGGGATCGAGCTCACAACCGCGGCATGTGCCCTGACTGGGAAGCGAACCGTGACCTCCTGATTCATAGGTGGACACTAAGCTAGTGAGCCACATCGGCCAGGGTCCAGTTGGGTTACTGTGTCTGTGTTACAGAGGGGAGACTGAGAAGTAGAGTGACTTGCTCAGACTCATTCTCGTAGTTGGAGACGGGCTGAAATTTGAGGCCAGTTCTGCCCATCGTGGCACCAGTGGGACGCCCGTGTCGTCAGCTCGTTCTTGGGAATTGTCCCTGATGTCTCCCCTCCCAGAGAAGCCCTGGGCCCTCCAGCCAGAGGTCGCTGGAGCTGGGGGCCCGTTAGGTGCGGATCTTGATCTCTGCATACTCGGTGCTGGTGGTGGCCTCCTGGTCGGGCTGTTCCCCCAGCCTCGGCCCCTGGAAGCTGAGGGTGGCGTAATACAGCTCCAGCTCCTCCCCGGAGGCGGCGGCGGGGGGCGCAGCTGGGGGCGGGTGGTCTAGCTGGCTGCCCGGCCGACACTCACGCTGGCCACCCTGAGTGGAGGGGGGAGACGCAGTCACATTAGGGTGAGGGGGGCTGGGAGTCAGCAAGGAGGGCCCACAAGCAAACCCGGAAACTGAGCAAATTAGTCTTTCATCTGTTCATTCCACTGACGTTGGCGGCGGCGCCCCTCCCCGCCGTGCATTGAGTCAGCAGATATTTTAGGGAAGTTATGCCTGGCCCTTGGTAACGGACTGCCAGCCGCCTGGATTCCTCACAAGAGTCCGCTAGGGCAGTGGTCGGCAAACTCATTAGTCCACAGAGCCAAATAGCAACAGTACAAAATTTCTTTTGAGAGCCAGATTTTTTTAACTTAAACTATATAGGTAGGTACATTGCTATTAACTTAATTAGGGTGCTCCTAAGGCTTAGGAAGAGACACACTCAAGGGGCCAAAGAGGTATTCTATTTGTCAGGTGGAGAAACTGAGGCTAAATATCCCCAAATCCACACATTTAGTTGTTGGGAGGACCAGGACTGATGCCCGAGTCCCTCTGGCTTCTGTGCCTGCTGCCTTATGGGACAGCGGCCCCTATGCTGGGCCCTGGATGTTCACTGGGGAGCAAAGCAGACCCGCCCCCGACCCGCCAGCTTGCAGTGGGGGGAGCAGACCGGCAGGCGGGAGTCGGTTATGTTGTTCTCTCACTGCACGTGGCAGTAGGAGGCACAGGAATGGGGTGGTGGCACGAGGACAGGAATTTGCTCAGGCCCAGACTGCCCTGCCCTCGGGGGCCACTCCGCATTTCAGGGGTGCAAGAGAAGCATTCATGAATTACGTCATGCACCCTACAAAGGATATTGAACAGTAAAGGGTGAACGCTGCCCCGAGAAAAGCTTGACCCTGTGCCCCCAGCACCTGGGAGGGAACCTCTAAGCCTCGGGGGACCGTGGGCCACACCAGGCAGTTCGCGTGATGATGGCGGCCTTGGGCCACGGGGCGTTGGCTTGACCTCTGCGGGGATGGAAGCTGAGTCCAGCCACGTGACCGTCCCCCAACTAGAACTGGACATCAGGCTCGGGGAGCTGCCCAGTGGGGTGCCCGTGCGTGTGGTCTCACGTCTTTGCTGGGAGACTAGGCACTGTCCTTGTGACTCCGCTGAGGGACCGCGGAAGCCCACGCCTGGGCCCGGGGCCGATTCTGTCCCCGGCTGCCCGCTGTAATGAACCATGACCACGAGTATGACAACTTCTCTGAGTCATGAACATGAGAGTGCCTCGGGGACCCCTAAACTTGTAGCAGACAGTTATTTGGGGGCGGTCCTTCTGGCGTCCTGAAATGGGGAGGAGAGAGGGGGAGGAGGAGGAAGTGGGATGGGGGGACAGGGAGGGCCCCTCTGGACCTGAACACACTCAGGAAGATGGGCAGGTCCTTGGCTTTGAGGGGAGATGGGAGCGGAGGGGAGGGGGACTCCCGGCCGCCGGCCTGGGTGCCTGGATTGACGGGGACCCAGGAGGAAAGGCCTGCTTGGGGCTCGATGGTCATCTTAAGTCATCGGGGTGGATGTGGCCATGGTGTCCTGGGGAGATGGCAGAGGCATCCGATGGGGGAGCGGGGCATGACTCACCAAGGAGGCGGGACTCCGCATGGAGGAGGCGGGACTCCGTGTGGAGGAGGCGGGACTCCGCGTGGAGGGGGAGGGACCCCGTGTAGAGGAGGCATCCTTCTCACCAGCTGCAGCCCGGGGTGCGCCCCTCCTGCGGGTCTTCACTCTGAAGGGGAGGCGGGGACCCCTGAGCAGCCTGCGGGGCGCAGAGCTCAGCGTGTGACCACCATCCCCTGCCAAGGAGGCTGGAAGGGCTGACCCCGGCCGGACGCAGGGGACGTGCCTGCACTGACTTTCACGATGAGAACAGGCTCCCTTCTCGGTGGTGGGGACAGGATGGCCCTGTTCTCACAACCCCTGCATCACCCAGACCCCCCCGCCCCCCCAGGCGGCCGTGTGGGGTTCCAGGCCCAGCCTCCTGCTCTCTCGGGACGACACTCACAGGAAGACAACGAGGCAGAGGCCGAGCAGCCCAACGACACCTGCTCCCGTGACAGCGCCCAGGACAAATGCTTCCCGGAGCGCGGGCTTCCCTGCGGACAGATGGGGTTTGGGGTGATTTCCCTCCGCCCCCCAGCACCCTGTGCCCTTACTGGACTCGGCCCCCACCACTCTTCCTTTCACCCCTTTCTTTCCTGACTCAGCCCCCCTCCCCAGCCCCACCCTCTCTCTTACCCACTCCTTCCTCCGTGGCCTCTGCCCCCAGCAGGCCCTGACCAGGCAGCAGCAGGACAGAGGCGCTCTGGGCCCCGTGCACATTCCGGGCCTCGCAGCTGAGTCTGAGGTCAGGGCTGAGCCCCTCCTTGAGGCTCAGGGAGCCTCT